ACAAAGCTAGTGGAAGGGCTTTACACTATGGCCATACAAAGTAATGCATACATGATCAAGACCACCCAAATCAGACCTAAAGCATGTGAAATCATGACAAAAAACATGCTGAAATAGAGCCAAAATAAGCTAGAACCATAGGCCAAAATAGCAAGCATGCTAGGGTAGTGTGTGGAATTCCACTACAAGTGCAAGGAGCATGCAAGAGGTAACCAAACCAACACCAAACAGAGCTATGTCACGGCAAAACAAGGTCCGAAACATGCTAAGATAGGGCCCAAGAAGGTAGAAAAACATGCTAACTTGATAAGCCAATAACACATGCAAACAAGATACAAAAAGGGGGGCCACCTCCACCTATTTTGGGTCCCAAAACACACTTTTCACCACTGAAATTCCTCTGGAATTCAGTGGTGAAGAGGCCAAACAAATGTGATCTCAAAGGCCTTAAGAGATAGCACAAAGCAGATCAAAACAAGGCACACAAGAGGGTAAAACACCTCCAACACCAAAGAGGCATCAAACAACCACTTTAAGCACTTGAAAACAAGCTTTTTGTAGTTGAAAGCAAGGCCTAAAGAAGCATGCAAATATGGCTAAGTAAGCAACTAAAACAAAGCTTTAAAGAGGAGAACCACAACAAAGTAGCAACTTCTGAGGCAAAAACCAAGCTTTTGAGCTTCAAACAAACCTCCACGTACCTCTGCCCAAGAGTGAAGGTGTTTCACTATGTGTTTAGTGCAAAAGTGTGAACAAAACTCACTTTAAGGCACAAACTAGCACAAATATAGAGAGAGAGGGAGAAATATTGCCCTAATACAAATTTTTGTACCTTGAACAAGAGGGAGGAAGCTCCCTTATATAGAATTCTATGCCTCAAGCTTGTTAGACAAGCTAGAGGGTTGGTGCAATCCCTCCATACACGTGTATGGAGGATGCCTTATATGCCCAACAGCTCGCATAGCTGGCAAGGAAAGTATCTGCAGATAGTGCAGAAAGGCCGCCGACTAGTTAAACAGGTCGACCGACCACAAAAAGTGGTCTACAAGGAATAAAATTGGTCGGCAAGGGAGGAAGAGGGTCTACAGAGAGAGTGGAAGGTGGTGGCAGGCTGCCGACCACCTTAGGTGGTCGACAAATCACCAACCCTAGCTGGCCGATCACCAAAAGTGGCTGGCAATGAAGAAAAGTGGTCTACAGGGAGGGAAACTGGTCTACACCCCTGTTCCACCCTCCAGGCAAAGGGTAACAAGGTTTGGTTCAACAATAAACCGAAAGGAAGAAAGACGAGTCCGTAAGGCAAGGCACTCAGCCGGAAGCCCCGAAAACTAGTCTACAGGCCACTACAAGTGGCCTACAAGAGGGAAAGGTATCTTACGGATACAGAAAGTGGCCTATAAGCCTCTGTCTCTCTCTAGGCAAAGGCATCAAGGCATGGTCCAAAAAACAGGCCAAGAGGAGAAAGTTAAGAGGTCCCGAGACAAGGCGCTCAGCCGAAGTCTACGGAAACTCAAAACGAGCACAAACATGCACAATCACCGAGTGCACAGACGATGACACCTGAGTCTTAAGGTCGGTCAAAAATGGAGTGTCTACAGTTGTCCCTCTTTGACAGAACTCAGAAGTCATGATATGACGGGAGTGAATGTCAAAGTCGAGAGACGACTCATTTTTGACAAGGCCGAAGTCTTAGACAAACAGGCAAGATGACAAAGAGATGCGCCTGCAGGTAGGGGCAAGATGCAAATGACGTGCACAATGCAGAAATTAACTTATGATTATGCAAAGAGGGCTGTAAAGAAATGTTATGCAATTGTTATGCAAAGAAATACTACAGTAAACTCGTACATAAGCAAGTAAGTGAACACGCCACGCGCGGGAATTACAGGACGAACTACATGTCATGCAGAAAGGATGAAAGAAAATTACGCAATCTTCACTACGCTCACGCAGAATAGACTAGAAGCAACTATTGGGAACACCCAAAGTTTCAAACGAGACAACTCAAACGCATATCCAATGCGAAAGGAAAGGGACATCCAAACGCGTATCAAACGCGAGAGGAGAAAGGTGACCAAACGCATGTCAAACGCGAGAGAAGAAAGATATGTCCAAATGCGTGTTAATCGCGAGAGAAGAAAGGTACGTCCAAACGCACATCAAACGCGAGAGAAGAAAGGTACGTCCAAACGGATGTCAAACGCGAGAGGAGAAAGGTACGTCCAAACGGATGTCAAGCGCGAGAGGAAAGGTAATCAAGAGAGTTCGAGGGAACAAGAATGATCTTACATGGAGTTCCTCTGACCGAAACACATACAACATCATCTGGTTGTGCCGGCTTTAAATGAACCGTATATACAATATCATCTGGCTGCACCAGTATCTAATGAACCGTACATACAATATCGTGCCTACATAAGAAAGAAACTCAACAGGTACAATATAGTAGAAACACATGTTCAACGTTACATCATGATACAATTCCAATACGAGATAAACGCGTGCATATACAATGCGCAAATGAAAAGGTGCATAACAATACATGAGAGACGTGCATAACAATGCAAGTGAATCGATGTATAACAATGCAAGTGAAACGTGCATAACAATGCGAGTAGAACGGTGCCTAACAATGCAAGTAGGACGGTGCATAACAATGCAAGTGAAACGTGCATAACAATGCAAGTGAAAAGGTGCATAGCAATGCCACGCGACATACACATTCTGTGCACAATGACAATGCATTTTCAGTGCAACATCAACAACATGTCTGAAGTAAAATGTCGAATAAGGAAATACATGCCTTAACGAGACCAATTCCTACGCAACCTCTGATTTACCTCTCGGAGGGGTCACAATGTACTTAAAAAGGATACGCCTTGCTCCTGACGAGTGACGATGAGCTGTGCATTGAAGACGTGAATCGAAGTTCCCGCGGGGACATTTTGAGCCAAAAATAGTGAACTTCTCTTGCACTTTCTCGAGAGCCAAGGACTCCAAACAACATAAAAACACACACCGAGGACAATGGGACCTTGAAGACCACCTTAGAGGGCTGCCGACCACCTTAACCACCTGCGTACTAGAGGGCTGCCAACCACCTTAACCACCTGTGGAGCACCTGTAGACCACTTAGGTGGTCGGTTGACCAGTTTAGTAAAATTCGGGGCAGTTTGGTCTTTTGAGGTTCGACTCTTTAAATACACAACTTCAAAACACAAATGCTCACATACACAAGGATGAAAATCACTCCTCTTCCTTCCTAGACCCTTTTCCTTCTCAGATCCGGACTTTGCACGCGTTTTCCAACGTCCCACGTGAAGTTGACTCACTAAGATTTTTCGATTTCCTTCACTTTGAACCGATCAGAATTTGTTTTCGGAGCTTCTTTCTCTATTTTCACCACTTGAGATATGTTTCTCTCGAAGTTTAGCACCTTTTCTTGGGTTTTGACTTTCTTTGACTTTTTCTCTTCCCGAGAGTTGACTTTTGTTGACTTTTGGCAATTTTAGCTCATTTCGCTCATTTTGCACCTTCTTTTCAGATGGCTGACAATGCTCCATACGACGAGGGTCCTCCGGGGATGGAGAGGGAGCCTAACATCATTCCGCTGCCGCCTAAGATCCGGCCCTTCCACCCTACGACGTCTCGTCTTGAGGAGCACATCTTACCACCCAGCACTTTTCATCATTTTACAGACTTTGCGCGACGAGCACCCTCGGACTTGCTACTACGGGAGTCGGAATCGCACCTGTCTCACTACGCACCCTAGGTGCATACTGCACTCTTACATTTTCTGTGATGTATTTTGTATTTCTTGCACACTTTATGCTTTCGCTCTGTATTTTATCTGCTCGTTCTGAACACATTTACATATATAGCACTTCTGCTCATTCTGAACACAGCTCACACACTGCATTTCTGCTCATTCTGAACACAGGTAGCTTCCCGTTTTACCCGGGGATATGGGTCGATTATAGCGAGGGAGTGGTACATGGAGCTCCTAGACGGTGTCCGACTGATTGTTGATGCGGCAGGGTTCGACAAATTTTGCATGGGGTTATCGTGTCTTGCGGCGAGTAGGACCCTCCTAGGTGCACTAGTAGAGAGATGGTGGGACACCACCAACTCCTTCAATTTTTCAGCTACTGGGGACATGACGATGACCCTATACGACTTCTATGCTGACGGGCCTTGATGTGGGAGGTCGACCGATCCCATATGATTTCGATATGGGTGGGAGGTAGCCTGGACTTATCTACTCAGAGACCATCCGCCGATCTACTGATCATTAGGCATAGTTAGATACACCTGGTTCACAGAGCAGTACAGAGGGACTGTGCCTGAGACTGTTGAAGGTAGTACACCCGGGGATTCCTAATTTTCCTTCTTGGGACCACATTGTTCTCCGATAGGGGAACACGGTCGGGCTACATCTTCTGAGTGCTCTAGTAGACCTATCCCAGGTTTGGGACTTCAATTGGGACGGCGCTGGCCTTGCTACCCTTTATTGTTATATGAGCGCGACCTCCCGCAGGTGCAGGAACATAGTAGGCGGCTCTTGGAGAGCCTGGGAGGTACATTCTGCCATGTTGATTTACATTTCTGCTTTTCATTACCTGTACACTGCACATTCCACACATTGCACACATTACGTCCTATACTTCGCATTTTACACATGGCATTCTGCATTTTCTGTGTATTCTGTATTCTCATTTCCACTGTCTTGCCTTTCACAGCTATGGGTATACGCCTATTTCCCGATGCTTGCTCCTGATCCGGAGGTTGAGGCACCACTCTACGTGCTGTACTCGTGTAGATTTGAAGGTTGATGCAGACCCAGACCCCGAGAGACCTTGCCATATCTCAGGCATTATTTTGACACAGTACGGGTGACCGAGGTAATCCAGAACTCTCAATTCTTCATGCTTTCAGCTTCGGTTCATCTTGCATATTTATGACAACTAATCAATTCATGCACTTGCTATCAGCAGATCACCTGGTTGCCTTGGGTGATGATGCCAGGGTTTTCCCTGTTCCAGTTTGCTAGGGCATGGGGCGCCTCCCGATACCTGATTCTGTTTGAGGGACCAGTTGGCAGAGCGTGGTTTCTCGGGGAGCGCTTCATGTGCTAGACATTGGGCCATCTCGTTCAGGGGATCCCTTCATCGCCTCCATTAGACATGCGGACCACAGAGAGTCTCTCTCTCCAGGAGGTTAGCGACCTTATGCAGGGTGCTGACGCAGTCCTTTTCCATGAGGAGGGGGAGTACACGACATACCTCCATACATACCTGATGCCCCCGCTGACAGGTGTTCGTGTCCCAATGAGGAGAGCTGCTGACATTCCTTCATCGAGCCGCGCCCGAGCTATAGACATCCCCTCGACTAGCAGGGCCAGCACATCATGAGGTAGGACTAGGGAGATGCCCCCCGCAGTGTGCTGGGTGGCCAGATCCTCTGATCGAGCTAACAGGCTAGCGGCATGGGACGCCTTATCAGATTTCGCTTGAGCGTCCATTGCCAGATCATCGATATGTCAGGGCCCTTGATTCAGCATCGGTATGCTTCACAACTTTCATCTATCATTCTGATATTTAGACATTCACTGATGACTTGAACTTGCATCTGCAGCCTTTCACAGGATATGTTGAGGGATTGCTCGAGGCGATGGCCTCACTTGAGTTTATGGTTTTGAGGAGAGAGACGATGTTGCACTCCCACGGCATCCCAATACTTTCCGATTTCGTTGGATTTATCGTACTCTTGCTGATATATCGAAACTGAACATTTCACTGCACTGATGCACTGCATGTATGGATCACATCCGACACATCACATTCACATACTATATCTGCATGAACTCACTCTATGCACTATAGTTGCATCTGATATACATACCTTGGCTGATGTATTCAAACTGCCTTCTCAGGTCACACCTCTACAGCCCGGGCCATCCGGGCCTTCTCCAGCAGCAGGGAGCGGGATCCCGACACACGACCGAGGGAGACGTTGAGCACCTGCCAGACGTGATGACGAGCCTAGTGACGAGGAGGGGCCAGCAAATCCTCAGTCAAAGGCATCCGACGGCGGAGGTGGTCACACCGGTTCAGGTTTTGAAGGCGGAGACGATGTCGAGGAGGATTCCGAGGATGGCGGCTCTGGTTCAGACGGGGGTGCCGACGGCGGTGGTGTAGAGGCTGCTCAGCCGAAGAGGGTGAAGAGGGCCTCTCGATCCTAAACCAGATAGCACCGACTCAGATGTTTTGCTTTGTTTTTTTTTTTTGCTAGTAGTTATAACACATTGCTACTTACCCAAAAAAAGTTATAACACATTGTACAGCGTTAGGCAGTTTTATTTTCATTAAAACTTGTACTCTGTTGTAAAAAAAGAAACCATGATGGAATGAAAATAGCTTTTCGGTTCAAAAGTGTTACATTTTATATTCTGAGCATCGCATCGCATCGCACCACACAGCGTGAAAATGAGATTGATGGAAATTGAGCATTCGTGAATTGCCAAGCACAGACAAGCTAGGGACTCCCTGCTGGAGACAAGAAGTAGTTGTAGACCACCTAAGCTTATTGCCAACCACCACAATAGATTTGTCGACCACTTTTGTGGGCGGTTGACCAGAAAAAGTGGTCGGTCGACCAGTTATGTAGGGGGTCTTCAGATTTTTTCCACTTGTCCTCTAAACAGTGCCTTATCCTCGATAAAGGTTCCAACTTCGTGACTCCTTCATTTCAACTCCATTTTTGCCCCAAATGGAAGCATTTCTTGTCCAAAATCTCACAAATTGAATTGCAAACTTGGATGGCTCAGAAAAGCTGAATTTTCGGGGCTTCGGAATAAATGCACTATTCACGCTGAGCCACACCCTGCTGCATTTTCCGTTCCTTCATGCGGCAGCTAGGTGTTAGAATCTGGTAACTCATGTTTTTAGCTTTGGCGGACAAGAGATGTGTCCTACTTTCGAAGATTTTCAGGCTTTGATGGAATCTCAGCGCGATGAAAAGATCTTGCCCCAATTCCGCTTTGGCTACATCCAAGCCTTAGGACGGATGTGCGGACTCACTTTGCATGATGCTCGGTCTTGATTCGCGACGGAGAACTGGACATTCCGAGCCTGATTCGTCGGTTTTCTGATGCCAGTGACCGCGACGATCATTACTGGCAGGGTTTTCGGTGACATGCGCTTTGCTTGTACATGTTGTCTCATTTCTTGCTTGCCCCAGGCTCCGGAGGGTCTAGCGTCCGTTTGATTGAGGTTGCCCGAGGTTTAAAAGAGGGTAAGAGCTGCATTGCCATGACACTAGCTGAGACACTGATGGGTTTGGATGCCTTCCATCGCCGGGAGACGACTAGATTCGCGGGGAGTCCACTACTGCTCTAGGTAATGTTTCCCACCCTATCTCGCATATATTTCTCACATCACTTGGCCTTCAGCCTCAGTTTTTCTCTCAAAACCCTTTTCTCACTTTTCTCTCCACGTACACCTCTCTATTCTTTAATCTCTCATTTTTCAATCCCTCCCCAAATATGGTTGATGGATAAGTTGAAGGTTGTGGACTCATGCCCAGCATATTCAGCTCGTGGCTATTTTTTTCGGCGATGTCTGGTTGATGCCCCAGACGAGGGATGGTGATGCGAATGGATGTGCAGTCTGTCCGCTGTCAACATTGCTTGGCGCTGCCCTTGGCTAAATCTTCTAGTGATGAGCTACAGTATGTCTCGCCAGCCCGGGATTCAGTTGATCGGCCTGACACATTGTGTCTTTTACTTCCCGTTCTGATTTCGACGCCAGTTTGGGCATGATCAGACTTGTCTGGAAGAAGGGATAGAGTACCCTGTCGCATTTCCAGTCCGAGGCGCACAGGTAGCTCGGTATGCCACAGCATGGAGGATGAGAGAGCTTCTGGCCCCCGCTCCCACTTTCAGTTGCACCCTCTGACGAGTGTATAGCTTGGCTCGATGGAGAGGCACAGGTTGGGCCTATTTTGGCATCAGAGGCATCCACAAGCTCTGGGAGGGGGCGTAGGAACACCTGGCTTATCCATGTCCCGAATTTATTGCTTTATCAGTACTTTCAAGTTTTCTTTATAAATGTAATAAAAAGCAATTTCAATTTGTATTCAAGAGTAGGAGAACTCTGTACTTAAATCAATGTAATTGAAGGTTGTGGGTGCTAGAAATTTTCTGTTTGGTCCAAAAATGGTTTAAGTCGTAAAAAGATTAATTTGAGCAAAATCAACTTTTATTAAAACTTTTCAAACCATTTTCGATATGGATCAAAACTGGACACGCCTAAGATCTATCACTGAGATGTACAACGCCGAATCCCAACAACTGGAAAGTTGCCCCTAGTCTGAATAGCACTGCATTGGAGATAACAATCGAGCTCTTGAATGCTGAAAAGACAAAGATGACCAACATGATCACATGGACAAAGTTGATTTGGAAGTGGTTATGGCTGGACTTCAGAATGAAGTTGCCTACATATCCCGAAGATGAGAAGCAAGTCTTACGTTGTTCGGTTCAGGTTCACTCGTGTATTAACACTCTTTTTGCGATCTAACTTTTGCCAAGGCCGCCCTTTCTGGGTTTTCAACCTTACGAGCTCAGTTTTTATTATTTCAAAATTTTCATGCTCTCCTAGGTCACCCTTTCGGGTTTTCGGCCTAGCGAGCCACTCAGGGATAGTATTTCTTCAACTTGTCCATGTTGATCGGCTGGGAGAACTCAAGGCCATCTAAATCCATCAGAATGACAGCTCCACCCGACCAGATAGACTTGATGATGTAGGGACCAGTCCAATTGGGTCTAAACTTGCCTCTAGGGTCATGATAGGAGCTCGGTTGTCTGGGCACTAGATCCCCCTCTTTCAAATTCCTGGACTTAACCTTCTTGTTGAAAGCCCTAGCAATTCTTCGTTGATAACCCTGGACGTGATACAGTGCTTTCAGCCTTCTTTTATCAAAGAGCATGAGTTCTTCGAATCTACTTTGCTGTCAATTTGCCTCAGCTATCTAACACTCAGCCAATAATCGTAATGACGGAACCTCAACTTCGATACGAAGAACAACCTCCATCCCATAAACCAAGGAATATGGAGTTGCCTTAGTAGAAGTTCGAATTGAAGTTCGGTAGCCCCAAAGAGCAAATGGCAGCTTATCTGGCCAGTCCCTGTAGGTTTCCACCATCTTCTGCAGAATGTGCTTGATGTTCTTGTTGGCGGCCTTAACGGCTCCGTTGGTTTGCGGCCGATATGAAGATGACTTATGAAAAGCGATGTTGTATTTCTCCAACAAGTCGATCACCTCTTTCTTGAAGTGGGAACCATTATCCGAAATAATCTCATTCGGGACCCTGCAGTGACAAATAATGTTGTTTCTGATGAACTTAGTGACATGCGATGCCTTCAACACCGCGTAAGATTGGGCCTCAACCCATTTCGTGAAGTAGTTTATCGCTACCAGAATGTACTCATGCCCGTTGGACTCCTTCGGAGTTGTGACAACTCTCACCTCTGATTCGTGCTAATCTTTGATTAAGCATGACAAGTAATGGATCATACTGAAATTCTGAACTGAATGCATGAGTATATTGCTTTACCTGCATTTTTATTTGTTTGTCATTTGATTGATCTGTTCATGTTTTAAGTTTCAGACTGTAAATTGAAGGCCTTATCGGCGGCCGAATCTGAAATTGATTGGTATTTTATGCGAATTAGAGTTTATGTAATTTTATGGTGGATTTAATTAAAATGTGATTTGGTATGATTAAATTAGATTAAATAAAGCTAAATTACATTAGTTCAAGTTTATTACAATATTGCCATTAAGTGGCCATTTCCTGCAACTTTGTTTGGCACCTTTATACAGCATTTTATTTAACCATTTTCTTAGACCCAAACCGTGCGAGGGAGAGAGAGAGAGAGTTAGGAGAAGTTTGGAATTCATCTTGAAATCTTGCTTGAATCTAGAGGAATTGAAGAGAGATTGCATAATTGAGCTTCTATACTTGGAATTCAAGATATAAGGTAGAGATTTCATCCTCTCATTTGTACAATTAAGTTGTTCTTGCATGGTTCATGGGATTAATGGAGGTTAGAGTCAAATATTGGTTTAAAGTGTTGAATTGAGGCTTAATCCATGCATGCATGTATATGTTCTTGAAATTTGAAGTTGTTTTGCATGAATTTTCACATGCATGTCCATTTTCTAATTGTAGTTCAGGAATTCATCATGTTTTTGGAAGGAATGACTCATTTAATCATGTGTTAAAAGCTTTGAATTCAATTGATTACATGCATCTTAAATGTACATCTTGTTCTTGAAGTTTATTTGAAATTTGTGTTTAATTGACTTACCTTTGGGCTTTGATTTTTCAAATTGATCTTCAAAACATGTTATATTATGGGTTTTAAAGTGTTTTCCAAAAAATTGGCCCACAAGGATCGAATTTGAGGCTTTTAAAGTTGAGTTTTGTGCTTGGGGATGAATCTGAAAATTTCAGATTTTGGACCTACGCTCGAGCGTAGGACTTCACGCTCGAGCGTAAACTCTGAGTCGTGCATTTTCACTCGAGTTTGGAAAGTCACGCTCGAGCATGAAATGCATATACCCAGAAGTTTGTGTTTTACAGTCCGCTCGAGCGAGGACCTGAGTCTCATGCTCGAGCGGAGGTCGAGCGTGAATTGCATGCATCCAGTACTTTTCATGAAGTTTGCAGTCCGCTCGAGCGAAGGAAGTCACGCTCGAGCGGAGACCCTTTGTCTGCATGTCCGCTCGAGCGTAGGAAGCCACACTCGAGCGTGGACCCTTGTTTCAGCAAATTTTGAAAAGTGTTTTAAAGTGCATCTTTGCATCCTCTTTCTATCCTAGGCATTCCTAGGCCATGTTTAAGGCATCTTATTGAGGATATTGATGAAGAACCACACCGAGTCAAGATAGAGACTAAGTTGTTGATTCCCAAGTGTGTAACTTAGTGTGTGTTCGTTCTGTAACGGTGTAGGGTTGGCATCCGAGGACGCTCATTAGCTGCTTATAGCCCAGTGCTCTGTGAGTGACAATGTTGTAAAGATATATTCAATTATGATTATTTTCTGAATGATCAACTATTCTGCTTACTTAAACGTTATTGTTTAATGAATGAATATTTGTCCTATTTGTAAACGGTATTCGTGGCATCCATAGCAATTTACTGTTACTGTTACTGTTATTGTACTCCTACTGTT